TGTGGCCTGGGAAAGCTCTGGAAGATGGCCCAAGTGCTTGAGCCCCTGCACCTGTGTGGGAGACCCAGATGAAGCTCCTGGCTCCTGGCTTCGGATTGGCTCCAGCCGTTGCAGTCATGTGAGGAGTGAACCAGTGGATCTAAGCTCTCTATCCACCTCTGTCTATGTCTCTCTTCTCTTTCTCTCTGTTACTCTGTCATTCAAGTTAGGCTTGTGGCCATGTTTCTTTACAACCCAGAGAAGAGAAACGTTATGCTCAGAGTGGCTGGGTTTCCACCACACAAAATTATTTGCATTTTTGCTTGGGTCCCAGCATCCTGCTTCCGAAGAACTGAATGGTAGCCTTAAAGGAGTCTCCTGTAATAGTGGCTAAAAACTAACTCCCACCTCTGCTACTTCTTTCTTCCTAGTATCTTTCCGTTGGTCACCCTGTGTTACGCCATCTGCTTCTCCATGTAAGACTAACACTTTCTCTAAACCTGCCTGTCATCCTACAAACCTTTACAGGTAAATGTAGGTGCCTTTTTGATCCCTCCCTATCCAACTCCCAGTTGAAAGATCAGAGACAGCCACGGCTTGGTCTAAGCCTCACTACAAATACTCTGAATTCATCCTTAACAACACCTGCAGCAATTAATCTACTTTGGTGAGGAAATACAAATGAATCTGAAGGCTATCACGCTGTGAATGCAAACTATCAACAAGAACGGTCCAGGTTCAAAATGTTTTATGCTATTAAGAACCCAAGTGCTTGGGCGCCTGCACCTGTATGGGAGACCAGAAAGAAGCACCTGGTGGCCGGCGCCGTGACTCACTAGGCTAATCCTCCGCCTAGCGGCGCCGGCACACCAGGTTCTAGTCCTGGTCGGGGCGCTGGATTCTGTCCCGGTTGCCCCTCTTCCAGGCCAGCTCTCTGCTGTGGCCAGGGAGTGCAGTGGAGGATGGCCCAAGTGCTTGGGCCCTGCACCCCATGGGAGACCAGGAAAAGCACCGCGGCGGCCATTGGAGGGTGAACCAAGGCAAAAGGAAGACCTTTCTCTCTGTCTCTCTCTCTCACTGTCCACTCTGCCTGTCCCAAAAAAAAAAAAAAAAAAAAAAAAAAAAAAGGACTCTGTCCAAAGGATATAAACTAGGACAACAGAAATTGGTAGACTCATATGTTTAATTGGCTTTCCCCCCCATTAGCTTTAACCTGGTTTCTCCAAATTTTGCTGAAGCCCACTCTGCAATGCATTTTAAAAATCTCCCCTTTTATATATGGTTGTGTGATGTGTAATGATGTTTTGGTCAATGATAAGCTTCATATAACAACAATGGTCCCGTAAGGTTATGTCACTCAATGACATCATAGCTGTCTTGGTTTGTGGAAATACACGCTTACTTTGCACAATGCCAAAACTTTTCATCCCACCCAGTAAGCAAACCATGACTACACAGATAGGACCCTTGGTGTCCTCAGGAGACTGGTTCTAGGACCACCACCAACACCAAGGGGATGTGCAAGTCCTTCGAATAATGTTCTTTTTATTTTATTTTATTTTTATTTTTGACAGGCAGAGTAGACAATGAGAGAGAAATACAGAGAGAAAGGTCTTCCTTTTGCCGTTGGTTCACCCTCCAATGGCCGGCGTGGCCGGCGCACCGCGCTGATCCAATGGCAGGAGCCAGGTGCTTCTCTTGATCTCCCATGCGGGTGCAGGGCCCAAGCACTTGGGCCATGCTCCACTGCACTCCCTGGCCACAGCAGAGAGCTGGAGTGGAAGAGGAGCAACCGGGACAGAATCCGGCGCCCCAACCGGGACTAGAACCCGGTATGCCGGCGCCGCAAGGCGGAGAATTAGCCTATTGAGCCACGGCGCCGGCCTCGTATAATGTTCTAATCTAGGAACATCTTCTTAGATACTTTACATCATCTCTAGATTGCTTATAACTAGTGTGATGTAAAGAGTTGTAAAACTGCATTGTTTAGGGAATAATGACAAGAATAAAAGTCTGTACACGTTCAGTACAAACCTAATTTTTTCCTGAATAATTTCAGTTCATAGTGGGTTGAACCCAAGGGTACAGAACCCATGGATACATAAGGGCCACCTGCATGTTTCATGCTGAACTAAATTCCCTGCCACAATGGGTTCAATGGTAAGAAGTCCTTAGGGAAATAACAACAACGTGTCTTAGGGTTCACCTATTCTTTCTTTCAATAAGTGTTTATCAGTGACATTATGTACCAGGCACTGGGGTCACACAGTGACCAAGAGGCAGACTCAGCCCTCAAATTGTTGGGGTTTCCGGGAAATGAGGCTAAGTAAATAACCACTGACAATAAGGTGCACCTGGCTGTGTTTCAACGGTGACAGCCAGGACCCAGAGAAATAGACAGCAGAGCCATAGACCGCTTTTGTGGGGGTGGGGGAGTTTGTTCCCCCACTATTACACACTAGGCAGGTTCAGGGGGTGGAGTCTGGGAGGGAGAGCACTCTAGGAAGATGGCAATGGTTCCAGCATGTTCCATAGAGGGCTGGAAAGAGAGCAGGAACTTTGCTCATTTGCCCTAACTCTGCATTTCCTTGATTTCTATAGGGTTCAGGATGACTATTCTCATCAGCGGCTGTGCACATCAGTCATTAAACATATTTTCTGCAACTCAAGTCCCTTGTAGCTGCTCCCAGTCATAGTTTCCCAAGGCATGCTGGCCAGTTTACAGTTACTGTCATGTGAGAAGGTGGCTTCTTTCCAAGCTTTTAAGCTTTGATTTGAGAAAAAACACAGAAAACATCCTAGACCATTCACTATAAACCCCTCACGCTGACCATTCACAAGTGAAACTTGCAACGTTGGTGAGCGATTCTGCTACAGAGAAGACCTTGCTCAGCCATGCTTTTCCTTTCATTACGCCACTGCTTCCAATCCGCAGCCCAGGGCTGAATTTCACAAGGCTGTAACACAGGGAATCGCGCCTAACAAGGACATAATCTAAAAGGTGGGGGAACTCTACACACAGGGATACATTAATCACAGCATTTACTGGTGATAGTGGAAAAACAAAACAAAACAAAATTTAAATATGTTCAGATGGATGAACGATTAAATGAAAATAGTATATCCATTACTGGAATTTATGTGACTATTAACAACGCTGAGTACCTTGGCAAATGCCTGTAAAAGGCAACGTTAAGCAGAAAAATAAAATACATAGAATTACCCAGGCACTATGATTACAACCATACAAGAGATAGAAACATGAGAAATGCTGGAAAGAAATCCACCACAACGAGAGCAGTAGCTGAGTTAGAGTGCTGGGACTGAGTCCCCTCCTATTTTCTCTATTTTTTTCTCTTTTTCTCTGTTTTTATCAACTTCCAATATACATATTTTTAATTAATTTATTCATTTTCATTTTATTCGAGAGGCAGACAGACTGATAGATAGAGATCTTCCATCTGCAGTTGACTCCCTAAATCAGCCAGGCTTTGCCAGGAGCCTGGAACTCCATCCAGGTATTCCACGTGGGTAGCGGGGACCCGGGTTACTTGAGCCATCATCTGCGTCCTCCCAGGATGCATATTAGCAGCAAGTTAGATCAGATGCAGAGTAGCCAGGGTGTGAACCAGGCACGCACGTGTGGGACGCGGGTGTCCCAAGCGGCAACTGTGCCAAATGCCTTCCCTTATTTTCTCTATTTCTTATGTTGCATTTGTAATGCTTTTAAAATCTGAACCCCACAAAGTGTATGAACTCTTGAGGCCAGCATTGTGGGGTAGTGGGCATTGCCGCCTGCAATGCCAGCATCTCATAAGGGCACTGGTTCGAGTACCGGCTGCTCCACTTGTGATCCAGCTCTCTGTTAATGGCCTGGGAAAAGCAGTGGAGGATGGCCCCTGCACCTGTGTGGGAGACCCGGATGAAACTTCTGGCTCTGGTCTGGCTCAGGCCTAGCCATTGTTGACACGTGGGGAGTAAACCAGAGGATGGAAGATCTCTCTGTGTCTCTCCCTCTCTCCCTCTCTGTAACTTTGCCCTCCAAATAAATAAATCTTTTTTTAAGGAAGGAGTACTTAAAATAAGCAATTTGAACATTTTCATACCCAAGTAGCATGCACAAGGCAACATGAGATGAGTATCAGTTTGTGAATCTCCTCATTAAAATGCGTCACCTTCACCATGAATGGGTTTATAGGCATTATCTCAACCCACTGATGAACTTCTTACTGTCTTCCTGGCAAAGCAGGATGAGGAGTGAGACACAACACCTCGAGGATCTGACAGACATCCAGTGTACTTACAAAAGCCAGAGTTGAAGAACACATGTGGGATGGTGGGCTTTTTAAACTGACTTTTGCAAACTTTATTATTCTTTAGGGTACAAGGTAAAAAGATCTTTTCAAGGGCAGCCTGAATAAGGGTCTATGATCCTAATTACCTCTCTGACTATTCTGATTTGGATGTGTTCGTAGAGGATAAACGACTTGATTTCCTGTGTCTCTTTCTCAACTATGACGCAATGTGCACCATGGGATGGGTAACAGGGTGGGGTGGGGGGCCTTAGGACTTAGAGGGGAAGCAGAGCACAGAGGTTGCTTCTCTTTCTTCACAACTGTGAAAGCTCAACTGGAAAGAATGAGCTGTTTTTATTCCCTCCGATCAAAGGTGACTACATCAGTTTTAGTCGCTCAAAGCAAGGCATTTAGGTTGTATTACAGTTAACTCCTTCCAAGCAGAAAGAATAGCAATGGAAGTTGTGGAATTTCCTTTTCTGTCGATTTTTAACAATAGGTTAGATATACATCTGGCCTTGAATGCCTTAGGCCCACTGCACACAGAAACAGAATGAACAAAAATAGCGCACACACAAAACACCCCGGTGTGGTCCAGTCACTCTCTCAGGGATTGTACAGACAGTTAAAAACCGTGTACATTCTCCCTCTCCATCTCCAGCCAACTCCAAAGTCTGAACTACAACAAGCCCGGCAGACTTAGAAAAGTGACCCAAAGGGATTTACCTGCACCAGGAGTTCCAGTTTCCTGTCATCGAGAAGATGTACTTGACATCGACGGCCCTCCGTCATCTAAGAGGGAAGAGAAATGGCGGTCACTGAGAAGCGAGCGCTGGACAAAGGGTTAGAGGGATGACCCCACCAGGCCCATCCCTCGGGGTAAACTTCTCCCGGGAACTGGCGGCCAAGAAGGAGCAAGGATGGAGCCTTCTTGGATGGCTCAAAATTCCTTGGATGGGTGCCCAAAATTCCTCCAAGTGTACTAGGTGGCTTCCACCTGGCCGGAATGAGCACCAGAAAACCCGTGGGTTTCCTTCCTGCCCTGTCTTCCAGTGGACTCAACAGCCTACACCATGGGTCCCTGGTTCTCCCCACCCACTTTACGAAGACCAAAACAAAGGAGGCGCAAAAACGGACCCTGCCCTGTCATGTGGCTCGGCCGTCACAGTCCTTCTCAAAGGTGAAAAAGCCAGCCCCCTCTCCTACTCAGCACTTCATCAGTATGTCCAAAGTAGCATGGGCTCCTGTACAAAAACCCCCTTATTGCTTGCTCAAAGGAAGCCATCCCATCATTCTCCCATTCAGTCCGATTTCCCCAGTTTTTGGAATCTAAATCTAAACAGCTTGGATGTCCTGCTGGGATAGGTCTAATCTCAAATGTCCCTTGATTGTGCATTAAAAATGACTCAGCAGTCTCCAGCTCTGAAAAAAGCCATCAAGAAATGCTTCCCCTACTCCCAACCACTCTAGCAAAGAGCTTAAAACAGGCGGCACGTGGCCGGGAAACTTCAGCCCAACGCCTTGCCATTTTGCACACAGAAGCCAAAGCACCCAGTTACAGAGGTTAGATGGACAGATGTGCCATCTTTCCTCACCTCACTCTCAACTTCAGAAAAATCCACTCAAGTCCTAGTAGAATCTACCCTGCACCTAGCAGGCATGCTGGCAGTACCACTGAATTGCAAAAATCCATCAGCTTCATTTAAGTCATTGCTCTAAATTCCCTGAAAGCCACTACAAGTTTAAATTACACTGGAATCTGCTGCCACATACACTCTCCCTGTGTGAAGGATTCCTTCATCAAAAAAGAAAAAAAAAAAAGAGAACAAAATGTTAATTTTCATAGACTAGTTAACAGCAATTGCACAGGTACTTTGGGAAAAACTTTATCTTTGCAACTTTTCCACTTCATTTTTATCAAGCACTACAAAACACACAACATATTACATAACCATCTAGAGGGGTAGAGGACCATACCCAAGTTATGTTTCATCCATCAGGAAAATGCTTTCTTGATACTGTTCTCCAATCTCTCTGACACACAGTAAGGGTGAACTCCAGAGATGTGCCTATCTCTTTTCCATCAAGCTCCACTGATAATGAGAATGTGCAACCCTTCTGTCCTCACCCTCATTAGCAAACAGGTGAATATGTGCACAAATCACCAAGCACAGGCCCACGACAGCGGCAACTCCAGGCAGCATCTTGAACCAATCTCAGCACAGCCACCTAAGCCAAAACCCTACTCATAGGCTCCTTAAAAAGATCCTTAAAAAGCACTGGATGGGCCAGCACCATGGCTCACTAGGCTAATCCTCCGCCTGCGGTGCCAGCACCCCAGATTCTAGTCCCTATTGGGACGCCGGATTCTGTCCCGGTTGCTCCTCATCCAGTCCAGCTCTCTGCTGTGGCCCAGGAGTGCAGTGGAGGATGGCCCAAGTCCGTGGGCCCTGCACCCACATGGGAGACCAGGAGGAAGCACCTGGCTCCTGGCTTCGGATCAGCGTAGCTCCAGCCGTAGCAGTCATTTGGCGGGTGAACCAACGGAAGGAAGACCTTTCTCTCTTTCTCTCTCACTGTCTAACTCTGCCTGTCAAAAAAAAAAAAAAAAAAAAAAAAAAAAAAAGGTCTGGATGGAATTTTACAAGCAGCAGCAATGGGGGCCAGCCATGACTCACTTGGTTAATCCTCCGCCTGCGGCACAGGGTTCTAATCCCGGCTGCCCCTATTCCAGTCCAGCTCTCTGCTGTGGCCCAGGAAGCGGCCATTTGGGGGGTGAACCAACAGAAGGAAGACCTTTCTCTCTGCCTCTCTCTCTCACTGTCTATAACTCTACCGGTCAAAACAAAACAAAACAAAAACAAAAAACAAGCAGCAGCAGTTTAGTTCTCATCAAAAGGAAAGAAAGAAAAATGGAGTGGAAGTTCTGGGAGAGAAAAGTGGTATACCCATCCAGCATATTAGGTTGACATTCTTCTAAAAATGTTTATCATAGGTTTGAGAAAATTCGCAAGAGTCTGGGGACAGAGCAAGTTTCAAGAAGGAAAAATGCTTTTCCTGTGCACCTTTGAAACACAGAAGTTTTCAGTTTCATTATACTGTGAAAGGTTATAGGTGGTTATAGGTACCAACACACCTCTGAGTTACCCACTCACATTCCAATAAATTTTATGAAAACAAATTGCTATCTGAAAGACATTAGTGTATCAAAGTTTTAATCACAGAAATAAAAAAAAACAAAGAGTATATCATTTTCTCAAAACATTTGAAAGCGTATAAAAATCTGTAGCATTACTTAAAAGTCATCCGGAGGTTGTCAGCTACCCATGAAAAATAAAATTCTCACTGCATGAAATAATCTCACCTTATCAGCTCAGCGATTTGAGGAAGGAGCTTTCACTATCTGGCCAAGGTCTTTCAAGTTCACCCTCTCCTCAACAAAGCCTCACCACTAATTCCCAGGACATCTGTAAGCATGCTCCATATCTAAGGGCCTCCCTCACAGAAAGCCAAGTGTCCTTGCAAAAAGCCTGGCACAGGGAACTGCCATCTAAACAGAAATTCACCTTCACATCAACACGCGTTTGAAGGCACAGCTGTCTTTTGACAGCCCGGCTGCTCTTTGCTTTTCAAAAGGGGCACCTGTTTGCTATTCCGTACCCACAATCTGAGTTTCCCGTGCCCACGGTCGGTTCAGAGAAGGTTCACTACTCTGCGTGTGCACAGGGAAGGATCAGACATCTGTAGCTTTGTCGGGCTTGCCAGGAACTCTGAAATTTCTCCTTGAATACTAACCATTGTAAAATAATACTGCTTTCCTTTTTTTTTTTTTTTAATTTCATTTTCAGCTGCTAGGTCAGAAGAGGAGCCCTGGCATCACCCTCAAAGGAAATCCCTTCAAGAACAAGGCTTCTCAGAGATGTTAGCTGGCTACTACCCCAACCATAAACCGTCTTGCTACAGTACAACCCTGCACCAAGCACACAGGTCTGCCAAGTGCACAGAGACATAAAGGACATACGGACAGTCCAGTAGTCATTTTAAAAGTGAGAGGCGTGGTCAGTGGTGCAGCAGCTTGGGCCATGGCCTGGGATACCAGTAGCCCATATGGGCACTGGTTCAAGTCCTGGCTGCTCTGTCGCTCCCCCTCTTCGTGGAGGAGCAACACAAAACCCTGCCTAGGCTTCATATCCGAGTCACGGCACCATTATGTCGCTCCCCCTCTTCGTGGAGGAGCAACACTAAACCCTGCCTAGGCTTCATATCCGAGTCACGGCACCATTATGTCGCTCCCCCTCTTCGTGGAGGAACGACACAGGACCCTGCGCTGTTCTTTCGTCTGCTCGGCCCTCCCCGGGTTTGCTGCTGGTTCCTCCCGGGTTGGCTACTATCCCTTCCACCTCCGTGGAAGGGCAGTTCCCCCTGGCCGCATTCCCCACTTCCGCAGGGGAGCAGCACACCGCCGGCCGGCTCTCTCGGGGGCTGCACAGGCGTTCCTTCAGATGTTCCCCTTAGATGTTCCTGGTGCATGCCGTCTCTCTCCTCCTTTATAGTCCTCCTCCGCCAATCCTAACTCGGCTGCCCACACGCCGAGTACGCTGCTCTCCAATCAGGAGCAAGTCCTACAGTTTATTGGTTGAACTGGAGGCAGCTGTGCAGAAGCTGTTTACTTCTCTCCCAGCGCCATATTGTGGGAGAGCAGATGCATAGAATAAGTCTTAATTCCAGTAACTTAGTCCAGTCCGGATTGCTCCCCACACTGCTCTACTTCCTATCCAGCTCCCTGCTAATGTGCCTGGGAAAGCAACAGAAGATGGCCCAAGTCTTTGGGTCCCTGTACCCATGTGGGAGACTCATATGGAGCTCCAGGCTTCTGGCTACAGCCTGGCCCAGTCTCGGCTGTTGTGCCCATTTGGAGAGTGAACCAGCAGATGGAAGATCTCTTTCTTTGTCTCTCTCTGTAATTCTACCTTTCAAACAAATAAATCTTTAAAAAAAATGTGAGGTGTCCACCCCAATAAATCCAGCTTTTCTGTTAAGATGGTCTCTGAATTATGAAGACTGTGCATAAACACCAAGAAATGTTGATGACGCTAGCTTAAGCGAGCAAAGCAGGATATGAAGTGATATGTGCATTACAAAGTAGCCAATGAAACCGTCCTACACATTGGATTAGGAGGCAAAAATAAAACCAGTTGATGAGCTAGGCTGTCAGGCTTACAGGTGGTTCCTCCCCACCCTACTCCATCCAAATATTACTCAGCCCGCTGTTTCTTTTTATTTTATTTTTATCTGGGAAGATGAACGCCACTGTACGAACTCGGCCACAGGAAATGGAGTCTGAGAGTTTTCGCAGAAAATTCTCTTAGATTGCCTACATTTTAAGATCTAAAATCCAATGTATTAATTTATAACGGAGAATTAGAGTTGTCACATAGGCCAGGATACTCGAGATTGAGTGGCTGACACGTGCTCTCCCTGCAGGCAGAATTAATGGGAAGATGCCTGTGACCACGAGTGATTCAGACTCTGGAGAGGAGGATTTAGAGAGATCTACAGGGGCCAGCACTGTGGTGTAGTGGGTAAAGCCGCTGCCTGCAGTGCCGGCATCACACATGGGCTCCAGTTCGAGTCCTGGCTGCTCCACTTCCAGTCCAGCTCTCTGCTATGGACTGGGAAAGCAGTAGAAGATGGCCCAAGTTCTTGGGCCCCTGCATCCACATGGGAAATTTGGAAGAAGCTCCTGGTTCCTGGCTTCAGATTGGCACAGCTCCAGCTGTTGCAGTCAACTG